GGGGCAGGGGGGAAGGGGAGGGAGAATTTAAGTTGTCCTTAATCGTGTTCATTTATGTCATGCAATAGATCTTGCAGATGTTGCCAAATTGCCAGATTTTCAAAGGAAGAAATATAAAGCTTTATCGAATGCAAAGAAGTCTATGTGATATCTATGTTTTATAAGATAACAAAACCACTATTGCACCCCATATGCTTCACACTTCTTTTTTTATTAGAAGACTATATAATTTGTAAGAATTTCATTTCCTTGTCGATTTGGGGGAATAATAATAACAATAATAATAATAAAAAAATCCCTCCTCCCCTAGTGAATTAATATAAATGGAAATAACAGAAACTCCAGTTTGGAATGACATGATTTATGTACGCGATTCTTTAATATCCAGTCAATTTGAATAGTGATGTTTTTATATCCACAGTCAGTTGAAGATGCCAATAACAGCGGTATGAACTTATTGGACCAGTCTGTCATTAAAAAAGGTATGGATTATTCCAACAAGCTAGACAAACTTTTACTGTGTAGCAATATCTTCATGATATATTTTTACTTTGGGGCAATTAATTTATCCGGGAAGCAGGCATACATGGCAGCAAGATGAATAGTTGATTGGATCGGCAGATAGAGTGAAGGGAAAAGGAGAGAGATGTGAGAGGAAAAGTTGATATCCCCCCTCCCCCGTCCTTCAAAGGCTTTAATTACACAAATGCTCTCAAATGGAGCACCCCACGCTCAAATGCAGTTTCCACGGGCCCCCTCCTCTTTTCCCCCCACAGTCCTCGTTGGGGACCCCTTGGCTTTTAATGGAGGAAGGGGGTTGATTCCCTTTGGGGCTTAAATGCATTTCCCAGGCGAATCAAACGTGAAGGGGAGAGAAACAAATGCCTATGGAAAGGCAGCCCCGACCTCCTTCCCCCCTTCCTCCGCGAATCCCCCCTTCCTCATGCCCATTTTTTAAATCTTTCTACATATGCGCACATGATTTAGTGTAACTGCAGAATCACCCCATACTGTTAAAGGGAATGTGATATTAACAAATGTTTGCAGTCTCTTGTACAGCTGTAAGCAAAATAATTAACTAATTAAACTAATTAAATGTAATTACAATAACTCATTTTGGGCGTATTGCAGCTGCTTAATTTTTTTACATTTCTCTGACAGTCACTCGAAGATGCTTGGCGATTAGTGTTGTGTTATGCTGATAGACATTAAACAGATCACACACTGCAAATGTAGGGGAAGCTATCTTTAATTATCTAAGGAGTTTCTATTTCTAGATTCAATTTTAAGTACCAGAGATGAGGCTTAGAAATGCTGTCCCTTATGCTTACTATCAACAGCACTTATCTCCAGGACCTTATTATTCGTCAAATGCGTACAAATGCTTTAATAGAGATGATCTTCTAGAACGTAAAGCAAAATAACAGGGAGGGTGTTTATTTAAAATGTGTTCAAGGCAGCATGAGGTCCTTCCGTGTATTTATTGTTTTTTAATTTAAATCCTCATGTACAGTCTCTCTCTCTCTCTCACATACGATCAAGTCCTAGTTATTTGAGGGAGGACAGATGAAAACTTGAAGACCGTTTGGCAGCATCATTTATGACCACCGGTTGAAAAGTCGAAGGTGTTTTTGAGAAACAGAAAATTACTTACCTTTTTTTTAAAAAAAAAAAAAAAAAAAAAAAAAAAGTTGTTTCTCCTGTTTTAGTTCAGTTTGAATGTTCAGTAGGTTTTCTGCTCAGGGTCTGTAACCTGATGGCTTCTGGTTGTATTTTTTTCTTTTTTTCTTCTCACTCTCCTCCCTCCTCCTCCC